CTACTGTCTCGAAGGAGGCATTGCCAAGCATCTGGGTGAGTGTCACCAAAGTGTACTGATTGTTGTTCATGTCAAAGGCACCCACTCACCCACCCGTTCATCTTACAGCCTCTCTGCTAGAGCTCAAGGAAACTTGTGGCAGCACAACTCTTTCCATACACTGGCCACATCTCCAACTCATCTTCCCAGTGGGTATAAACTCTTCATTGATTCAAGCTCAAAACAGACAAACACACAAACAGATAAGACTAACAGAGGAAAGACCACGTGGTCAGATCATGAAATTGAAAGAATCTGGTACCAGAAATCAGCAAGTCCTCAAAAAAGAATGAAAATCCACTTCTAACTGTGTAAGGACGAACAAGAGCCCAGAGCACAGGACCAGAGTGGGACTGCCCGGGGAGGGGAGGTCCAGGCTGGCCAGTCAGGAGTGGCACACGAGGCCTCCAAGAGGCCCACTACTTGGAGGGGACCCAGAGGCAAGGTTCAACCCATACCAAGTCCGGGCCCCAGAACTGTGGGGGGAACGCAGCAGAAACTCAGGGAGAGGATTTTATTCAGGCTACGGCAACAGGAAGAACGTTCATTAATGAGGAACATCTGCAAGGAGAGGAGTGGCTTGAGTTTCTCTGGCAGGTAAACAAGGAGTCACAAGGAAGAGTGAGGGCAAAGTGGTCCTTTAGGCCCAGCCATTTCTCAGAGCACAGAAGAATGGGGGCATCTCCCAGCCATTGCTGCTTTTCCTGCGCCCCAATGTACGCATGGGGCTCAGGAAAATCTCAATATGGTCAGTTTCTGAGTGCGTGGTGGATGGTGTGTTTCCACTGTGCGTGTCTGGAGGCGTGCTGTGCATGTGCAGAACTCATCTCTCTGTTTCCATCGGCCGTGCGTGTGTGTTTCAGAGCGAGGGCCCGTCTCAGCCTTTAGTTGGGTCTGGTGGGCTGTGTGGCGGTTGCAGGCTGGCTATCTGTTCCTGTGTTTCTGTTTGTTGTGGGCTGTGTATGTTTCTTGGTGTGGTTGTCTCTGTGTATCTCTGTGTCAGGTAATGTGTGTGTTTATAAGGTATGTGTCTCATGGTTCTATGGATCTGGTGGTGTGTGTATGTGTTGCACGGAGTTTCTGTTTGTCTTGCGGCATGTGTGTAGGTGACTCAGCATGTCCATCAGGGTATCTCTGGTGGAGGGTGTATGTGATTGCAAAGTGAGTGCCACTCGGTGCTTCTGTGAGTCTGAGCTGTGTGTGTGTGTGTGTGTGTGCGCTGCAGGCTTGTGCCTGTGTTGTGGTTTCCCTGTGGCCCATGGTGTGTGTTTGTGTGTGTGTGTGTGTGTGTGTGTGCTGCAGGGTTGTGCCTGTGTTGTGGTTTCCCTGTGGCCCATGGTGTGTGTGTGTGTGTGTGTGTGTGTGTGTGTGCGTGCGCTGCAGGTTTGTGCCTGTGTTGTGGCTTCCCTGTGGCCCATGGTGTGTGTGTGTGCGTGTGTGTGTGTGTGTGTGTGTGTGTGTGTGTATGTGTGCTGCAAGGTTGTGCCTGTGTTGTGGTTTCCCTGTGGCCCAAGGTGTGTGTGTGTGTGTGTGTGTGTGCACTGCAGCAAGCATCTCTGCTGGTGTTCCTGTATCTGCAAAACATAGTGTGCATCGTGGAGGGAGTCTTTTCTTCTGTTCTGCGCATCGTCTGGACTGTGGTGTGTCTTGCGGGGTGATGATGCCTCCTTGTGTTGCTGTGGGCAGGTTGTACGTGTATGCTTGTTGCAGTGCATGTCTGTCCCAGTGCTTGATTCATTTGGTGTGTGTGTGTGCAGAGTTGCATGATGTGTTTCTGTGTGTGGTAGGTTGTGTGTTTGTGTTGGCGAGGGAGTGTTTCTTTGAGTCTCGTTGTACGTGTGGGTATATGTTGCAGTGAGTGAGTCAGTCTCAGTGTTTTTGTGGGTCTGGTGGTGTGTTTTGTGTTGTGGGTGTCTCAGCATTTCTGAGCCTGGCATTGTGTGTGTGTGTAACTCTGTGTGTGTCTGCGTTCCTGTTTGGAACCGGCTGGGCCCAGGCCTTCTCCAGTCCCACATTCCTCCCGCTCCTTTGTGCTCTGTGCTACAAAAAATATTTGCGTTTTCCACGACTCATAATTTTTCCTCCTCAATCGCTACCAGATGTGGGCCCTGTGGTCCTGGTCCCCATGGCAACGGAGGTTCCAGCAGCCGCGGTTCCTTTTGTGGCGCCTGCCCTGGGAGCTGGCACTGCTGCAGGCCCGAGGGGGTGGGGAGGGAGTGCATGTCGGACAGGG